ATGGGACACTTGCATGGCACGGTGGTCATGGTGCTCTGAGCTCTGCCTGTCACGTTCCAGTAGAGCCAAGAGCTCTGCGTGCTGAGGTGCTGGTGGCCAAGCAGAGGGAAATGGAGATTGCCTGCCAGGCTGGTTTGCTGCCTCTGCTGCCCCTGCATCGGATTGCCTATTCATGGACTTGAGATGTAGATATGTACAACACCTTCTATGCAGTTTGAGTATCTTTTGGTAAATTTTGTAGACACAGAGCTGCCTGGTCAGCCTGGGAAATAACACGTTTTTAAGTATTTCCATTCCCTTTCCCACCTGGGTAAGACATTCTAACATGTTATAGTGTAGTTTGTGATTTTGGTGAAGCTTATTGGCTAAACTTTTTTCACCAGTGGTGTTTGTATTTCTGCTGGCTGTGGGTACCTTTTGTAGGATATCTTAGTACCTTAGAGGTACCTTTCCAAGCAAGGACTGCTGTGCCTGCTGCTGACTGCTGTGACTGCTGCTGTGCTGTGGTTATGTGCTTAGTGCTTTTCACATGGAGAGAAGCCTTTGTCCCTGTATCTGCCCTTGAGCCAGTGGGGTACTACCCTTCACCCACAAACTGTGACATAGGTGCTTGTGAGGCATCATTGACAACACTTCCAATACTTGAAATAGATTATTTGAGAAAGAACAATAGGTAAATATTGCTAATAGGTAAATATTACCCCCAGGTAAACAAAGTAGGAACTTATCAATGGAGGAGATGGGTTTTTTTGGTTTGTTTTGAGGGGTTTTTTTTAATCCTTAAACTAATACAGATATAGGCAGATTATTAATGCCAGAGAAGTGTGGAAAGAGGTTACGCTATTGATTGCATTACAGGCTTTGGCAAAATGAAACACAAAGCTTGTAGGCAGGAATTCTAGATCCTGTTCTTGCTCTATTGTGTCAAGTACTTTCATTCTAAGAGAGTGGGGAAAAAAAGCTCAGCTAGGCTATTACCTGCTGTAGTTAATTCTACAAATAGATGGACACTGATTTTTGTAGTCAGCTGTCACAACTGGAAAGATATCCCATGGTATCAGTTGAAGTCCACCTAGTAAAGGACTTGGGTGCTTCTGTTTATGAGCACTAAAAAGCTAGATGTCATGTATGTTCCTTTCCCATGGTTTTTAAAACCTTTTCCAAAGGTCTTTTAATAAATTCTTTAAGTAGGAGTTGAAATAAAAACAGGGCTTATTGACCTTGAAATATTTAAAATATTGCATGGGATAGTTGCAATTGAATGGTTTACTCTTGTCAGAGGTGCAAATGTTTTGCACAACTGTAATTTTGCCCTGTGTAGTTGTAACTCACAAGTAGTGCAGAGCTTAGTTTGTCCTAAGAAGAGCTATGTGTGGGGAATTTTAAAGATGTCTCACAAGAAGATGCATGCTTAGGCTTGTGCAACACTATTAAAAAGGCTGGGCCAACGTTGTCCCTGTTGTCATTCTTCTGAAGCAAAGTAAATTGAAAAAGTAGCAAATCTGACCACGCTTAACGCACTAATATTCTTCTCTTCTTAATGGACTGAAAGCACTTATTCCCCTCTCTGGATCTCTCTGGCTTTATTGAACTGAACTGCATTTTGCAAGTAAACAATTAGTGGTGTAATTCTTGTTTGAAAAAAATAACCATACAATATCCATTTCAAAGAATGAGAACACTCCCAAGGAAAGCATAGTACCTCAAGTTGCCTTGAAGAAATTGGTTCAAGTTTTTCATTAGCCTTTGAATCCCAGATCTGTTTATCTTCTGTACATCCTGCTGTCACATCATATCTCAAAATAGTAGAACTATAAAAATGTTTATAATTTTGCAGTGTAGTTACTTTTTAAAACTTCTCTTTGTGGCAAGTGGGGAATTATTAGGCTATTAGGCAACTTGCAGAAAGGGAGCTTGGAGCAAGGGACTTATAAAATGAATGGTCTGAATCATCCCTGTCCTCAGTCAGGGCTGAGGCGTTCTGGCAGGATTGCAGGCAGCACTGCTCCAGCACAGCCTGGTATTACTTGTGTGGAGAAACAAAGGGCTTCAGTCCTGAAATACCCAACCTGCTACTCATCAGAGAACAGGGCTCCATAGGATTTGATGGGAAGATAGGTCGAGAGTGTCTGGCACAAAGAAGAGAGACATTATAAAGAAAAGTTACTTCTGCTTCTGTTGTATATTTTGTTCCTGAAATCTTGCTTTTTCACACTTCATATTGCGATGTTTACTTACCTGGGATTCCCAGAAGCCTGCACTGTCTGTGTACTTGCAATCGTGGCTATTTGTGTGCCAGTAGCTCATCTGACTCGCAATTCAGAGCTTCCCAGAGATCAAAGCTGCGTTTACAAGAACTGGAGAGAAGCTATGCTGGACTGGGTCCAGATTTCTTGGGTTTGTTCTTATGCTATTGGTAGTAAATGTCTAGATTGTTTTGCAGCCATACCATCAATTTGCTGCACTGCTTATGCTGGGGGGACCTGGCACTGAATTCGACTTTGCTGCATTTATTTTATTGCAAACGATGCATCATGAGTCAGAAAGAGAGAGGTGTTAAAGTGATGGATTGTGGATGCCATCCAGGATGTATAAAGTCAGCATTTTCAAGCACAAAAGCTAGAAGCAACTGTACTGATACAGTTGGCCTGTGCCTCAGAGAGACTATCACAAAAAAAGTGAAGTGGTCCACTCAATTCTTTGATATGTGGTCTTTGAAACCTGTGTTATTTAATAGTGAACTGGTCCCAAAAGTTATTGGCTATTTGGAGGCTTGGGAGGCTTTTTCAGTTTGTTATTTTAGTTGGGGCTTTGTTGTTGTTTGGTTTTTATTTGTTTGGGGGTTTTTGTTTTGTTTGTTTGGGTTTTGTTCTTTGGTTTTTTTTTTGTTTTTTTTTTTTTTCTGCAAGTACTTTAACATTGGCTAACAAGGATGCCCCCTTAAGACTAGGATTTGGCTGCAGCTTATGAACTGCCTCAAATAACACTTTGGGGAGTAATGAGGCTGCCTCCTCTGCTGCTGAATCAAATACTTAACTGCTGCATGGTTGTTCAGGCTGTATTCACTGTTCAGTAATTGCTGTGTCTGATAGTGTGGCTCTGTCTTTTAAATCTGTTCACCAAATTCCTTGGACAACAGCAGCTCCTTCAAGGACTTGCCAAGCATACAGTTTAACTATATGCAGAAGAGACTCTTCTCTCCACAGAATTTTGTCTGCTAGGAGAAAAGGACATAACTGGGAGGAAAGGTGCACCAGTGCATCAGGCAAGGTGCACTTCCCAGCAGTTCTCACAGATGTGCTTATTAAAAAAGTGAATAGACAACGTTTCTAGAGGATACATGCTTCCCATGGATACTGTACAGCAGTTACATGCATAGCACATTGACACTACACTGAAGCATTTGGGAAAAGGTAGTGCACTTCCTAAGGAAAATGGCCTATCCTGGAGCTGTTAGCTGAAGTTCCTATGTCTTTCCAGTAAGAACATCCTAGTGAAACTAACTTCAGCTGCTTTAGCTTGCATTTCTAGGAGCTCCATAATGATGGCAATAGAAAGAAATATTTTTCTTTCTTTAATGCTATGTAGCTGCAAATTATGCCACTTGACGAGTCTGGATTCTACCTCTCCCTTCTTATTAAGGAAGCCTACATGCACTGCTGCTTAATGCTGACTTCTCGTGACTGAAACTTGCCTATTTTTACTCAACAGTGGAAGCCATGACTCTCCTGACAGCCTCCTACTGAAGAGTTTATCAGACTTCATTGCTTAGGTACATAAATGTGTGGAATAACTTGTAAGTTCTCTCATCTTCTAGGACGCTGGTATAAGGGAAGAAAATCTCAACCTCAAGTAAATTCCCTCAGAACCTATTATTAATCAAAATAGCTGATTAAAAAAAAAAATCTGTGGATGTAGGTCTAATTGAAGTCCAAATGTGTATAGTGACATAAACTACAGTTAAAAAAACTTGAAATCAAGTTGGCATCCTAAGGCTCCTACAAAATAGTTTGTGAAAGTTTTTTTGCTAAAACTTTGTGGTCAAATGTGGAATTATGGGTTAAGAATAAAAAAAAAAATTCTGCATATTTGGATCACATTGTTGGGTAGAAAGAGGGCTTTTTTTTTAGTATCTAATGACTTGTCTCAGACTACCTGGATCACCTACAGGTCTTACTCCTGGCAAATGGCTCATGAGGACTCAGAGAGGTGTGTTTCTCTCCCCTTCCTGGAATGGGAATTGCAGAACACTCTGGTATCTGTCAGCTGCCAGCCATGGTCCCTCCATGTCTGGCCGTGTTTTGCCTTACACAGGTTTTCAGGACAGCCATGGAAGAGACTGAACTTTCAAAAGAGATCTTTACATTGTTGTTCTTGGTCTTAAGCCAATGCACTCAGCTGTTTTCAGCTAATGCTTTTTGGGGTTTGGGCAGTGTTTTCAACACGAGATCTGCTCTCAGTACCAATGTTTAACTGATCTTTTTGATGTTTATATACTAGCTTGCTCTTGGGTATGGGGGCATTGCCCTTCTGTGTGCAGTTGGAAGGACAGAGCTCACACAGTGGCTCAGGACCAAAGTCAACAGAATAGTGAAAGACACCTGACTTCTGCTTATTCTCATGCTACAGTGACTATTGATTTTACAGACAAAAAAAAATAAATTGATTGTGTTATTACTGCTGGGGGGAAGGAAGTGCCTGCTTGTTCAGATTTTCAGAAGTTTTTGCTTTTAATGTGCTAAAATAATTTTGTGAGAACATTGAATCTACAGTGAAAGCATGTCTTGCCAGGAGGCTGTTCAAATTGTGATTGTTTCCTGTCTACCAGAAAGCAAGTAGTTAAAATACTGACTTTTTGGTTTAACATGTAAGGAACAGGAAAAAGAAATTTTTCTTTTTATACATCTATACATGTATGATAAATAACCAATAGGCCAATATATTACAGAGACATTTATAGACACAAAGGAAGAGCAATAGATGGTTCACAGACAAGAAGACCCACATGGAAGACCCACATGGAAAGTGGGGCAGGGCACATGTGGAGATGCCTCTTGTCTTTATACTGCTGATCTGCCTCCTAAAGGTGAAGCCATGCCTGCCACTGTAAGGCAATCCTCTGCTAATCTGGGGAAATCCATTTTGTCTCAGTCAGTTGATATAGGCAATGATCAGACTTCACTCAGACTGAGCTTTCTTCCTCCAGAGGTAACTTGGAGTATAGCATTTGAAAGACAATTTCTGCTCTCTCCACTGCAGAAGTTAACTCTGGTCACTCTCAGTATTTGACTGAGAAGCCCACATTTGTCAGTGCATCCCAAATCTGTTGAAATGACTGAAGTTTATGAAGATGACTCTGACACTTGCTTGTGCTAAATGACAGTTCTTACGTTCTAGTAATCCTACTCCACGGGAACTATCCCGTCGCATCTCCTAAACTGCGATGAGGTCAAAGCCCTGTGACTGCACACAGATCACCAGTTCCTCCTCTTTGTCCTCCATATGTGTGTCCTGTGTACAAGCACCTTACAGAACTATTTGATTGTGCCAATATCCCCATGGGGATAAAAAGGGATACCCCATAATCCTGTTTTGTGGCTGCATCTTTGGCTGCTTGTCCTGACTTGAGGTATTCTCTCTTTAACCTCCTTTTCCTAGCTAGTGTGGTTGCTATAGTTCTCCCCTTCCCACAGCCAGTCTGTATTGAACCTATGTCCCTGTCCTCCTTCCAACTTAGTTTAAAGCTCTCTCAGTGAACCCTGCTAAGAGACAGGGCTACTTGTTGCCAGCAGGCCTGGTGCAATAGAAACTGGCTTAGCACCCTGATCTTTACTTGCTTAGCTCTTCCAGCTTATAGTATTTTACATGAGCTAGGAAAAACCCACTTAATTTTTGTATTCTTTTCCGAAGAGGAGTAGGAAGAAATCCTGTTTTAAAACCAATTCAGAAACTGATTAGGAGAAACATCTACAAGAGCACAGGACAGTGGTCTTGTAAAGTCAACTCTATATGTTCTTCTCCTAAAATATAAAAAAATATATATTTATTTTAGCTGGCTTTTTCACAGAAAGCCTCTACCAAGGGTTTTAATACATTCATTTTCTGTAATGTTTTGTGTATATATACATGTGTTCTGCCTCTGCATTTCTCAGCTTTCTGCCTTGAAGTCTCCCTTTCAAACTGAGCTAAAATAACATCTATTAAAAATTAGCTTCAAGGATGGAAATTCATCTTTTTCTCTCTTTCAGCCTTGGCCTTTTATGAACCTTAGTGCCTAAGTTTTTCTTGCATTAGTGCTGCTCAGTCTTTATGGCCTAAATGTATCTAGGGCATTCTGCAGCTACTCCAGCACACTCTGTGGCTATTTTTGGCAGTGTAGCTTTTGCCTGGCAGTGCTACAGAGGGATGGCATATGCTCACTGCTGTGCATGTGACTTGATTTAAAGGTGGATGATGTGGTTTTGTTTATGTATTTGTATAAGTCAGAATTTTAAAAAACACTACTCTATATAATGTAGAAACCTGTACAAATTTAATATGCTTGACTGCATGCGTTTTTATTCTCCTTTTCTATGTAATTGTATGCTCAGTGAACTGTGCATTAGAAAGTGAATTAGCAAGTTAATTTACCCTACATGCCAGTGATAGAATAGCTTTTACCTCCTCAGGCCATGTGATCTGAGCTGTGTGTGAATGTGTCACAATACACAAACACTCCTTTTAGAACCACTGCTGGGAGGGGTGTTGTTAGTTTAACCTGTTCTCTCCCTCAGTTTTTAATTCTGATTTGCAGTCACTATCAGTGGGGTGTTTTTGGACATGCTCTGAGTGAACTGGGTTCTGGATTTGTTTGTGTGCTTTCCATACTTCATATGCTGTACCTCAAGGAGACCTCTTGCAGAGCAAGTTACCTGCTCATCATCTGAACAAAAGTAATAAAATTAATGATAGTTATTCTTCAGTATTCCTAATCTAAGGCAATTAATATTTGCACTGTATTTTGAGTTTGCAACTCAAACTACATAATGTTTAACGATCTACTTCCCTACTATTCCATAAACCCGTCAGGCTCAGTTTCATGGGAGCAGCTCTAGAGCCTTAGTTACAATTCAACAACAGGGTAGCCAGTCCCCCAGCAAAATTTGGTTTCAGACTTTTTCAGTTGTAGGACTGAAGAAGAATATTTACAACAGAACAAATAATTTGAATAAATGAACGAAAAAGCAGAGAATAGGAATGTTTTCATCTAAAGATGTAGACCCAAGTGGTGAGAAGTTAAGTGCTGGTTAGTGCTCCTGGGACTTTCATTGCTGGGGGTATATGGGAGGGCTCTGACAGGACCACATGCTTAATCCCACTCTCCCAGGCTCCCTGGTTATACCACAGCCACATGGCTGCTTCTCACATTGCAGGACAGGACTTTGCCTGCTGTGTGCCTTTTTAAGCTCCTGTGCATGGGCCAGCACACAGTGGGTGGGAGAAGCCCTTGTGCTACATGAGTACTTAGGAGTTATTATGGCTTAGCAAATGGTTAGTGTAGAGCATGTTTATTAGCTCCGAAATGGGAAGTATAGGTACCGAAATGGGAAGTATAACAATGCCATGATTTTTTTTGTGAGATAAATCTTATTTTAATTGTTTGGTAACAAAATATATAATGAGGGACTTGCAGAGGAGAATTAATTTTGGTCATACTACATAGATGTGTGTTATTTCTTAGTGGGAAGTTAAACATGGCATAGAGTAGGTGGCCCTAGAGCACAGGTATTTCTTAAAATCTGGATTAAATATGCTATTAGCATTTCTTTTTGAGGATGAGGGAAATTGTATAGCAGTTGCTATTATTTTGCTAGTAACTATTTTGCCATATTGAGCAAAGTGTTGACATTAATGGTGGCATTATGATTGTTGAAAAGGCTGGTTTGTTATCAAGGTAATAGAAGCACATCAAGAATTACCTAATGTCCAAGAAATGTTAAAATGCCAATAAATATATTTAATACTAAAATCTTGGAAATGCCTAAGTAAACAATCTGCTTATGTATGCATGCAAAAATTCTTCTTTAAAATCAAGGCCCCATCTCAATTCAGTTTTTGATCTTGAAATGCTTGTTGAATTTTTTAGTATTGCTGTAACTGATCTCTGCAATAAGATGTTTGAAAAGGGAGGTGAGGATGTGATTTGAACAATTGAAGGGCTGTTCAAGGTAAACATAAAGGTTCCACTGTTTGATTTCTCCATTTTATTTGGGAGTGGGGTGGAGCTGGCTGACCAAGGCCTCCTTCCCAGGCAGTGTGCTTTGCAATAGGAAGTGGGGCAGTGTGGTAGACAGCTGCCAGCACCAATAACTGGTGGCTTGAGCGGCTTAACAGAGGCTAAGCACAAATCTATTGACGCAGAGCACAGGGAAGTGCTCCGCAGACTTCTCCCCCCTCCCTGTCCTTGAATATAATCTCATGATGCTGTGGATGTGACAAACTCCATTTTGATCAGATGTTGGGCCGGACATGGTTAGAGCGGGTCAGTTTTGGCCTCGAAAGGATACCCTGATGGCATGCATTCTCCACACTTTCTGAAACTGCACTTTTTTCTTCTGTGACACCACCTCCTTTCTGCTTCAGGTTTGCAAAATTGCTAGCCTGAATTTTTTAAATGTAGGCTGGGAGATTGAAGCCATGCGTACAGGGTGATATGGATCATGCTATGGATGCACAGTAGACCTCTGCAGTGCAAATGAATGTTCTGTACTGAATATAATGGATGAAATAGGTAAGCACCTTGCTCTTCGTGTTTCCAGAAAAAGACCTTTTAAATGGCTTTCCAATTAAAACTTGTAAATGGAAAACATTATTTCTAGTTGTGGGATGCATGCAGTAGTTTTCCTTTGTACTTTCACTTTACAATTTACTGCTAGCAGTCTTACATGATGCAAGGGGTTGCAGAACAGTGATCTGTTAATACATTGATATTCTAATTTTCTTTTTTTCAAGGAAGATTATGAAAATGAAAGTTTTATTTTTCTGCAGGATCTGTTAATATCTAAGTAATTAATTACTAATTATTTTATAAAACACCAGATTATTTGTTAAAGTTGACCTCTTGGTTGTAAGTAGCCATGCTCTTGATATATGGTGCAGTTATCTATTTTCACAACAGCATTCAGTCCAATCAGTTTTAACTCCAAATCTGCAAAACAGGAAGGGGCCTGTTTGTCGCTAATGAAGTCTTTTACATAAGTTAAGGCCTACAGTTGCTAAAACAGCTGCAGTGCAACATCCCAATTAGAAAAGTACTGACAACTTTGATATCAGAATGTTTCTTTCCTTCATCCACTCTGGCAAAAGATGTTCTGTGGTATGGAAGCACTGCCAGAGTTACTCTCCAAAGGGTGAATTAGTGGTGCTTTTTGTAACTTTTAATCTCTTTAGTTATTCAACTTTGTACAGGCACAGCATGAAAACAAGAGTATTATTTTGTGTTTTCCCTTCTACCTCCATTTAGGTTATTTTCTGATGACTAAACACAGCAAAAATATTTTTAAATATCCTAAAACAAGCAATAAACCACTTTTTGGTGAAGGTGGTTTTTTTGCTGTCTCACTTTGTCATTCAGCTTGTCTGTTTGACTTTTTGGTAGTTTGCCTGCTGTGTTTATTCTGTAAGCTTTGGGTTATGTTGTAAGGGTGTCCTTTTTGTTCACTGTGACCTGTAATCACTTAATTGCTCTTTATTTCCTTTGCTCGAAGTGCTACTTAACATACCTGATAGTGAATAGTAGCTGGATGCTATCATGCTTTCTGTGTGCAACACCTTCATCTGACCCTCATTTCCCCCCATGGAGTGGCAGCTCACAGTCCCTGTGCAGAGACTGTTCTTCATCCTTGTAGCCCACGTGCCAGCTGCAGCAGTGGGTTTTTTCCCCCCTAAAATTGGTGTCAGGCTCTAGAGCTAACCTGGAGGGGTGGAAGTCGCCATAGATGCTGTAAGCAGAGCAGTCAGCACCTTCTGATGTTGCCTTATGTTGTGGTGCCTGCCTTTGGCACACAGCAGAGATCAATCAGCCCTTGCCCATCGTGGTACCACTCCCGAGGGCACAGCCCCAGCATGAGATGCAATTGTGCTCACTGAACAATCAGACGTCCTAGTAATTGTGGCCTGATTTGATGTCTGCAACTTTCATTTGCTTAAATCATGGCTATCATATTGGTATTATTCTGAAAGTGAATTAAGTATGACGTTCTTTAATCTCCAAATAAGGTTGTGAAGTTATGACAATGACTAATCGGGGGGGGGGGGGGGGGGGGGGGGGTTGAATTTATTAGTTAAGTGGGGCAGATTAAACTTAGTGCTTCTGGAAATAAAGGGTTGCTAGCACTATCTGATTGCTTATTACTGTTCATTCATGCTTAACTGTTTTCCTTGATGGTTATAAAAATTTCTCCCTTTCTATTGTTCCTGATCTTAGATTGCAGGCTTTTTCTCTTGGGAGTGGGGAGTTCAAGGCAGGGAAAAATGGGGATGTTGAGCTGTGGAGTAATTGTGAGGGGGGAACAGCAGTAAAAGTAAACTGAGACCATCCACCTCACTTTAATTTCAGAAGTAATTGGGAACTTCAGATGTGAAAAGCTGTTGCTGTAATCTGTTGTATCATTGCCAAAATCTTTGGAAATTGAATTAATCTGAAAACTTAATATTGGTTACCAAAGCAGTGGAATTCTGCAGCTATCAGATAATGCCAGAAAGTAGAAATGGGAGTATAATATAAGAATAATAATTAATACTTAATATAATAAAAATCATTATTGGAGGATGTGAACAGAGACAGCATTTTATTACAAGGTCTTGATTAAATAAATTAATAGGAAACAAGGCAAATCTTTAGGTCGTTACAACTTAGGTTGATACAATTTTTTTACTTAGCTATTTTTAAAAAATCAGGATAATAAAATTACTAAATTAAGCTAGAAATTTCTATATTTTGAGGCTGTTTTTGTAGAAAAGAAGAATAAAGAGCTGATATGGAATTCTTCAGTACTTACAATAAGAAAATACTACAAAGTGAGGGGTTTTGATGTTTCTTGCTATGTCACTGTGCAGTGCTACAAAGTCAGAGGTGCTACATTTCTTAAAACCTGTGTCCAGTGACCAACATTTGCATGGGACACCAAAGCAGAGGCCAAGGCCATGTAAAGTGATGCAAGTGGGAGGGGAGGGAATGTGGAGTAGCCTGTACATTCACAGGCACTTTTCTGTATGTACATCCTTAGCACTTAATTTCCCACCCCTCTGGAAAGCCGACTTGTATTACCAGAAAGTTGGCATTGAATAGGGACAACTGAAGGTGTCATTTCTATGAAATAAAAGGTTTGTCCTGACTTTTAAAAACTAGGGTCATGTATTGAAATATGGCTTCACTTATGTTCTTCCTGCTTGTGGTTAGGGAGGTGTGATATTACCAGGATGACAAGTCCATCATACATTTACTGAACAAATAGGTTGTAACTGAACAACCTATTTGATCAAATAGAAATGATAATGCTTCTTTCATTTGGTGTCTTTTTTTACTTTCAAAGAAGATTTCACAGGTTTCTTGGATAAAAAGAAAAAAAGATTCCATAGATCATAATATGAATGGAATGCTTGTTTCTCCTGCATAGAGGGATAGGATAGAAGCAATTTTTTGTTACGTATTCAGAAAGCGGATCAGTTCCAGGTATCTGAATCAAAGCAAACAAAATTACTGTGGGATTTTTTTTTCCCTAGGTAGTAAAAGAGTTGAAATACACATATTGGAACATCATGGAAAAAAAACATCTTGGAAAAAGACATTTATCCACCTGCCTGAAATGCATATGCTGTTTGTTCTCTGAAAGTGTGCAGTCAATGTATGAAGCAGAATGAGACTTTCACATTTGGTAACAAATGTTCTTCGGAAGTCTTCTCTTCCTGGTTTTGAAAACTTTAACACTAACTTGTCAAAATAAAGATGAAGCAGTGTTTGAAGATCTGCCATATTTGAAATTATAATTATGCTATTAAAGGAAAGCCTGAGGATAGCTGAGACTTAGACAGGGACTACTTATGCTTCCTTTAGTCGTGAATAATAAAAATGGAGATGCTAATAAGTAGCTGATGCTTGTACTACTACTTTTATAATATTAGTTTTGGGTTTTCTATCATGTCAGAGGACATAACAGACATAGCTAATTTACAGAGTCTTGTAGCTTTGACTTTCTAACTTAATTGACATTTTTAACACAAGGTTAAAAATGTCTGAAAAAAGGCTGAAAAAAGCATTTGAAATGGCTCTCTACTATTTTTAATGTGTCTAGCACTTTAAAAAAAAATCCATATAATCCTCTTGAAACAGATGGCTACATATAGTGAGTTAAAATCCCATGCTAGGATTTGGGTTTTTACCTGGTACTGAAAGCAATGTCATGACATAGGGATGAATCACTGAATTTGGAGGTGAAAACTGATTTCAGTGCTGTTAAAAAACAAACAAAAGCCTGTGGGGAACCGTGTAGTCCCTTTGGATGGAGAGCTGGCTGTTAGATTTCTTTTAGTTTGTGTTGTCTTTTCCAGACTATATTGGAATGTCAACGTTGGTGTCAACTAACCTTCACAACCTTTCCTTCTGTAAGAAAGGAAAAAGAGGAAGCTAAAATCTTTAACTACGAATCATGTAAATTCTTGGGATGCCTAACTAAAGACAGGATTTCAACTGAAATTTTTTGTTGTAACTCTGTATCATGTTAAGCCAGGAACACTTTGGGAGAGGGGAGTGAGGTGTGGAGAGGAGGATGTTGCTATTAGTTTTATCTAGAACTAAAGCATGGATGTATTTTCTTTTTTTGAAAGGTCAGCTGCTTTTTTATATCTATAGAACTACAGTAGTGTTTCTAGAGATGAAGACAAAAGATTGGTGTTCTTGTCCAGATAACTGGAAATAATTTAATATAGCTGGTGATTAATGAAAGGAGCACATACTATTTCGGTGTGCTCGTTTCCTGCACTCTTTTCATTGTAAAAGGAGACAAATGAATGGAAGGGCAAAATGTTGACACACATTTAAGTTTTTGCAGTTAAGTCACTTAGTAGTTAAAATTTTTATCCTGGTGCATTCCAGCAATCAACCAGAGGTTAATTTGAGCCAGTGGACAGAGAAGCTGCAGCCTTTCCTTGAATTAAGATCTGAATTGCACTAAAATGTATTTAAACTTAATAAACATATCCCCTGTTCTGACTGTTCTACTGTCTATTTATCGAGTGCACACAAGACAATATATTGTGTTCAGCAGGGGCAGGGAGAGTGCAGCCGCAGTTATGGCCTCAGCTGGGCACTTGTTCTCTGCCTCAGTTTGCCACGAGTGCGCAAGCATTTGCACCTGCCTTCTCAATCAGTTCTGCTACCAACGCAGCATTCAATGGGCTGCAAGGATGTGAATATTAACAGATAGAGAAATATTAAGCAGTTTGACAGCAGGTAATAAAGGATCTGAACTGTAGGGAAGTGAAACCTGGTTTTCAGACATATAATTTTAATGTGATGTATTGAGATACATTCAGACCTTCCTTATGCTCCCCTAGTTTTCAGTGTAGGTCATTCCTAGCAAGCTGAAGGATAAAATGTATGGTAGAACATAGAAGATTTTTCAAGACATGTCAGAGAGATTCTTTACTGGAAGCTGAATAAGTCCTTCAAGCTGGTAGTTCACTGTATCTGTTTTTTCTAAGGCTCTTACTGCAAAGCCTGCTTTAGTGTTCTTAGTTTATTACTCTAATACAGGCAAATAGTGCTTGGAAAAGAGCAACTTCGGCATCTTGGCAAGACTATACACATGTGAAAATGTCTTAGTTTTCTGGGAGTGGTTCTGCTTCCTGGTAAATTTTAGGATAAGTGTGGGTGATTCTTAAGAAGGCATGTAGGAGGTGAGAGCTCATCTTGTAGATGAAGTCACTCAATAACTGAGTGTCTCTGGACTTCAGTGACAGGTTGCTGTTAGGCTTGTGGGCACACGCCAGATTTATTCTTTAAAATACTGGGATGGGGCACAGTCAGATTTTTTCCCCCTACTGTACTCACTTTACTGAGAGAGCTTTTCATCTTGATATGCCCCTATTGTCAATTTCTTAATGGTGCTTTAGCTAGACTTTCTTCAAACTGCAGAGCAAGCAAAGAGTGTGTGAAGAGGGATGTTGGGACAGGGAGTAGGTGGTTTGAATGTGTTACATCCATTAGGAATGTCCTGAACAAGAAGTACTGCTGCTGGGTCTGCCAGATGAGTAGTTCAGAAACTAGGTTATTGTGAAATAACTTGCTACAGTTGCAGTCGCAGATTATTTATGTGCTTTGGCCTGAGAAAAATACAGTGGTTTTGTGCTAAAGCATGTTTTGTGCCATGATAAATGCACCGCTGCTGCTTTGATCTACATTTGTACTACATGGAGGGGTATGGTAGTCTTAGGAGGACAGATTTGGAGGAGGCACTCCAGTGACTTTGTTTAATTAGATCATAGCCAAGTCCTTCCCTCAGCTGTATGAAATGCAAAGGTAGCTCTTAATGATGTACACTTTAATAGCCTGAATGCATACATGGAAGCAAAGGTGATATTCCGCAGGACTACAGCAGACCTAAACATGACCTGTAAAGGAGGCTGTGACACTTGAAGCAGTCAATGAGTCTTTAGGCTCTTTCTGTACTTATTGTAGTTTTCACGGTGGCCTAGTGAGACCTGGTCCCCCAAGCCTTGCAGTCAGTGTTAGTAAGCTCTTTTTGCTTAATGAAGCTGTGTCCCCAGACTCCCAGGGGCATGCGAACTTATGCATGATGTAGTGCCCTCTGTGCACTAGTTTGTCAGCCTGGAGTGGGTGATGTTCCCATGATTTATGAAGCTTGTTCATCTGTCCTGGAAAAAATAATTTTACATATTCCATCTAGTCCTGGTGAAGTATGTACATTTGCAATAACAGAAGCACCTGTAAAATAGAGATTAGATTTATAAGGGTCTTTCCTCACTGCTTCAGCCTTGAAGCTGGCTGATACACTGGCCACAGAGCCCTTTGGGAGCTGGTGTAGCACAGAGTGTGTATTAGCATCAGCACCTGCCCCTTTTTTTGTTAGACCGCTGCTTCTGTCCCCTGGGCATGCAGAAGGATGTGTAAAGAGTGAGGGCAGGAGACAACACTAAGAAATTTGACCCTCTCTTTTCCCCTTCTGAAGCCTGAGCTCTACTTTCTACCTGGTTTTGCTTTATAAAAGTCTTCCTCACCATGTGGCAACTGTGAGCCTACAGCTCCACATACTAATGCAGAGGAGCTGGATTATTTCCTCTCCCTTCTGTAACTTTCTTAATTAACATTTTCATTGCTTAATCTACATAGCTCAGCCTGTCTGCATGCCTTCTCTTGTTACAGTCTCTGAAGTAAGTGATTTAAGAATTGGTAATTATATACCTTGAAAAACTAATTTGTATAATCATCTTGCTAGATTCAAAACACCTGCTTGCTCTCTAGTTTCTTTTTCTCTGTGGAAAGACTGATATTATTGATGGTAAAATTAGGAATTAACTCAGTGTTAACTCCTGTGACTTTGAGGACTGTAAGGGATTGCTGAAACTTCTTTACAGTAAATCTTCTCTACCTCATGGTTAAAACAGGAGGACCATTTTTGAGTAGAAGAATTAAATATTTCTTTTTTGTTCAAGTGTTTAAGTTTTCTGACTTAACCCAGTGTTGCTTTGCTCTGATCCCTCTGGATTTCCTCTTCAATCCTCAATCAGTATAGCATGAAGGGCTTCTGAAAATCATACATGATTCCCTGCGTTTCAACACTCAAGTACAGCAATAATGTAACAAAGTCATGTCAGCAAAAGTGTTAAAATCAGCTCTAGAATGCAGTCTTGAATTAAAGCACTTTGGGATGGTTGCTGCTATTTGGTACATCTGTGTCCTCATACCCAGAAGAGTACTAATGATGTCTGTGGCACTCAGTAAAAGAAAATGCAGTTGTGAACACCTCTTCTACACAAACAAAGCTGTAAAAACAAGTACAGTGTTGCATATGGTTTTATGAAGAAAAAGATAAATGCAAACAAACAAACAAAAAAAAAACCCAAACACAGATGAGAGAGCTGCCAACTGTTATGTAAATACAGAAAAATCCTTAGAAATCTGCACCAAGATGTCTACATATTTAATACACCATTAAGCGCTTAGCCTTGGGAGGGAGACCCACATAAGGCTTTTTCTCCATCTTCAGAGCTAGTAGTTCAGTAACTATTTCTCAGCTGGTCCATTTAAGCCTGAGTGCATGTAGTGAAAAGAACCCTTTCTTGGTTTGTGTGTGGTTCATTGAACAACATTGCTTAAAAACAGGAGTGTTTAGTGTTATTCGTCATGTCACCCTTTGCTTTTACCCCAGCTGACCTTTCAGCTCTGCAGAAGGAAACACATGCAGTAATTAATCAGCCCATGCTTATTATTTCAGGTCACTTGTGTGGTTTGGACAAAAGGAAGACGAGGAATACAAATGCAAAATATTTTCCACTATTTGCTTTTAATGGCAGAGTGGAGCACAACGACATGGGCTATCTGGGTTGTTACAGTGCATTTAGGTGGTGTGCTGCCTTTGGTGGTGGAGAATTAATTGTATGTAGTTGGCTGCATGGCTACCTCTTAAGCAGGAAGAACTGCCTTAAGCTGCTCTGGTGTAGGGGAAGGGGCTGTCATATCTTCACTGGAAGGATTAAGGGCTTCATGAGGCAGAGAAAGAGTATCTTGGCACTTCTTTGTATTCAGAATGTTTTGTGGTAGGAATTGTTAATAGCTAGTGGTCTGTGGGACATAGCAAGCTTCAGACGCATTGGGCACACAGAGTATCTGTTAAAAACAATACAGGATACCTCTGAAAGTAGTTTTATGAATAAATACAAAAAGCATACACTTAACAGTGTATTTATTATTTGTCCAATATTTTATATGCTTAGGAAACTAAGCTCTCATAAGACTTGTTTTGAGAGCTTTTCTCGGGGGGGAAGCAGTGACTTGTCTTATAGCAGCAATTAGCCACCGGTGAATCTGGGACATATTTAAGACTTTCTGGGTTATAGTATTGGAATTGGAGTGGCATTTTCTTTCCAGTCAGCTGGTATGGTTCCTTCTGATTTGTACTTATCTCAGAGGAATCTAGTTGTTTTCTGTTCTGTCTGTCCCTGTAACTTGCCTTACTTTCCCATTTTGTCATACAAACCTAGAGTAAACCTTGTTCTGTAGCAATTGGGCATTGATTTGTCGGTTCAGATCTCTGATGAAGAGCCTGAATGAGCTTAAATTTGTGCATTATGGTCTCTTGTCTTAAGGGTTGCAAATTTCATAGGAGAAGGTGCTTATAGGGTGGGAGCTTTGAATACTGCTGCTGTGCAAAGAAGTGTTTAACATATGCAGATATGTCATTTATCTTCCTACTGAAGTTGTACAGCCTGACTCACAGTAGCACCATGTGATGCATGAGCCACTTGGAGTACAGTGTCCTTCTCCTAGGTTGCTTACAGTCTCTCCTTAATCATTGTAATATCTAATCCCAGATTAGATGTTGAGGAAGAACAGTTTCCAAAGCCAGTCAGTTCCTTAGCTCCTGACCAGATGACTCACTAGCATGTCTTTAAGAGATTTCCTTGGAATGTCTGTAGAAGATTATTCTAGCAGAGATCTGAGACCATCACAGATAAATTCATGTAATCTAAATATTACATTAATTATTCCAAGAGGAAGATAATTTACAGCCCTATTAAAAAAAAATGCAATACTATGAGAATGATCTTTCCAAATAATCATATTCACTGCTACATGTAACTCAACATGTTGTCTGAATTTCTTCCAAATAGGAAATTGACAAGTGCTCTGTCCTCTTCAATAGAACTTGTATTATTTTAAAGTATGATAATTGTTTTGGTTTTAAAACCACAGGGTTTAAAAGTACCACAGTACTTCATTCCAGTATACACAGAGCACAGCTATGAGGGAAAGAATGAAGTGATATACATTCTGCAAGTGAAAACAAATTACACGTTTAGCACAATCTAATTGCATAGGTCTAGTCTTTTACCAAAATAAAAATAATCTTTTCTTGGCTTACTGGAAAATAATAAAAGCTGAACTCCTTAATGTGTATTATTTTTTTCACATTATTTACCATCAGAATTCAGAAAAAAGATTTTGAACTCGGGATCAACTCTCATTGATTTGAGAGACTGTTGTTATCATCAAAATAAAGTCAAATGTAGACAAAATCTCTATATAGGGTGCAAATTAATCTATTTTCCTGCTACTATATCAAATTAACCTATATATATGTATATACATACTTATAATTGCTTATAATTAATACATATTTATAATTCCCAGTCTATATGTAGCAATAGGAGGAGGTTTAACTTGTATGGCTAAATTTAGAGTGATCCTAATTTGCAGAAGGGTAGGAGGAGATGACAGCTAGGACTGCCTACTGCTTATTATGCAGGTATGAGTATCAGTTCACTGTGACACTAATTACTGTTCATTTGTGTAGTTTGAAAATGTGTGGGTTTGGCATTAGTTTTTGTTAGTGAATTTTGGAACTTTAAAAATAGAGGGTAGTTCTCTTTCTCTCTGGCTTTGCATAGTAGCACTGATTCAAGTGGCCTTGAATCAGGTGCTGTTGTTCAAGGTGGTGTAGAAAGCCAAGGAAAGATCTGTCCAAAAATCTGACAGATTTTTAAAGCTGTGAGAATGTTCAAAAATTGGGAAGGAATAGTGATTCTCTTGATAAATAGTTTAAAGAAAAAAAAAACAGTCTGTTGAAAAGCTGTTGTGGTGGTTAGGATGCTTTGTATGCTCTACAGGCAGCCTAATTCCCATCCAAAATAGTCTGCATTGTGTAAGACCACTTAAAAGAATAATAATTTGTCTTATTATGAAGGCTGCAATTGGTTCCAAATCACTCTGTTCCTAAGACCTCTCTGAAGATCGCATGTCTGTTTTTAACATTAAAAAATCATATTCAGCTTTATAGTGTTGTTAGTTGGAAGATCTTGTATATTTATTGCTTCATTGTTTTTTTCAGAATCTATTTTTCTGCTTTCTGGGCCTTAGAATAAAAGGCTCTTGATCCCCTTCAAACATACTCCCAAACAAAGCTATTTAAAAGGTACGATAACATTTTTCCCACTTATCTGTGATTTGTGCTGCAAAACAGACTATGGACAGCAGAGTAAACACTCAGGTTTGAGAGAATCCACCCCCAAGCTTGTTGTCAGGCCATGCATAGCATGGGACTTGTCAGCTGAAGAGCCACAGAAGGTATTTCAGGCCCTTACTAGGTGAAAAGAGAAAAAGGAGACTGACAGGTCACAGATCACAGAATATTCTGAGTTGGAAAGGATGCACAAGGATCATCACATCCAACTTTAAGTGAGTGGCCCATACAGGGATTAACACTCACAACCTTGGTGTTTTTAGCACCATGTTCTCCCCAACTGAGCTAGTCTCAGGGTGTGAAAGAGGAGGGATTGTACTCTCTATAAAGGAATGGTTTGAATGACTGGAGCTTGGCCTGGGGCAGGTGCCAAATCAGCAGAAATGGTGGTGCTGCTGCCTTTAGGTAGCTGGAGAGAGCCTCAGGTTGTAGTACTCATGGGTGCCTCTTATACACTCTTCTGGAAGGGAAATGCAGCTGGGTGCTAGAAGCCAGGAGATGTGTTTAACACATTCCAAACCAGTTCTTGATGCAGGTGATCAGTGAACTGACTAAGACTCATGCTCTGCTGGACCTGCTGCTCACAGACAAGAACTGGTAGGTGATGAAAAGGTTGAGGGCACCTTTAAAGTGCTGTCGGCAAACCTTAGTTTTGCAGAGTGTTGCATCTAGTTGCATCAGCTTTTGGCATTGATCTTCCATTAAATGCGGAGAAATGCTTGTTGGAAGTAAAAAGTGCTGACAAGTTTTTTGTTTTTGTTTTAATTGCAAAGCTGGCACAACAATAGGTAAGCATTAATGAAAATAGTTAGTTGGCACTCCAGTTGTTGGAAGTAATGTTTTAAGGTGTTGTGAACAGATTCAGAGTGCATCTTCTTATTGTGTCCTCTATTGTATAGTTGTGATATGAGTCCTAATTGTTCAGAGCCTGGTCAGCGATGTTCTGCCTGGCTGTGCTGATCAAGGGGCTATGAACCAAGGTGATCTCTTACACAGCAACATCATGCTTCAAAGTGATTGACTTTGAAATATTCATTGTGTTGAAGATAAACCAGTAAGGTAGACATGAATTATATTATTTTAGTCACATTCCATAGAGCTTTAATAATCTTGTAGCCTGGAACCTTACTGGTGGTGAGCTGCTCAAAACCCACAAAAATACTTTTATGAAAGATTGAAGCAGGTTTGATGAGGTCTGTCTCCCTGTGGAATGGCAATCCATGTGGGCAAGACTTAACAACCTTTTAGATAAGTCCATTTGCATCCTAAAAATAACTTCCACAGTGTAATACAGAGAGCCCAGGAAGCACTTAGTACCAGCCTGATTCCAGAAGTAATTGATCTATGTGGTCCCAAGTTTTGTGCAACAAAACCCAGTGTGTGTCTCCCATATAAGCCAAAGTTTTATAGTTATAATTTAGTCGAGTCAGGAAGGGGAGTGTGGGGATCCTGCAAGCAATTTATGGGAACCATTACATTGTTGGTATGGAGCCAGTTCTGTCTGGTGGTTGCACACAAGAAGACTTAATGCTCTGGCAACCAGCCTCCCAGCCACTGTGTCTGTGGGCAAAGGGAAGGGCTGGAGGACAGTGCCTGAGTGACCTGCCTGAAGATGAAACAGTATCAAGTACTTTTCCATCCCCATTTCACCTGTTCAAAAGAAAGAAGGGAGGTGTGTTCAGCCTGCCTAAAATTACTGGACTTGCTATCTCAGGCATCCAGCGCAGGCTGCCTGGGCTTTCAGATATATAACTCTAATACCTGAACAATGAATTTCTGCATAGAGTAAAATACTGTGATTGCAGCATCCATTTTCTCCTTTTTCAGTATTTATGTAATGCACAAATCTTTGTGAGGCTTCATTTTTTGTGCTGAAGTGGGATATTTGATGTGCATTGTAGAGCAATAAGTTGACTTTGAAGTGTTGAACTGAGTCACTTGCAATAAACACCCCAATGAGACAGCCCATTTTTTCTTTTGATTGACCAAACAAAAGAATCAGAACCAAGAACATGGTCTAAAACAAAATAACTCTAGAGGTACACTTGGTACACTATAGTTTAGTCTAGCACTTCTTGTAAAACTCTTTAAAGGCAGGGACACAAAATATGTAAAATATATAAAACACATTAATAATGTTGAAACATTATATAAATTATTGTTAACAAGGCCTTGTTGTTTCTGGGTAAAAATTTAAAGACTTCATGAAATTATATTTTTAAAGTTACTATTAGAGCAATTGGAATCCTTAATCTTTTTTAGCAAGTCTGTGAAGGCTAGGCTGCTGTCATGAAGTATGTGGCTTAGAGGTCTAAATTCTTTGTTTTCTCAATCCACAATAAAGAGGAGGCCACTTTATTGTGTTAAAGAGCTGTAATCCCATGAATCGTTTCAGTGATGTTGTAAAATCAGTATGTTTTGCATAATAAAATAACCTCAAGTGAGAATTTTATCGTTCTCATGCTTAATTTGAATTTTACAAGGCAGATGGCAAATAATAAAGGTTGCATAACATTTCCCATTGTTTCAGTCTCTCTACAATTTTGCTAAAATTAAATGGTTTGGCCTTTATTTCTCTTTTGCCAGTTTCTCTCCCTACTTTTTGTCTTCAGCAAATGGATCAATTTCTTAAGAATGAGATATAGGAAACAAATAGAGAAATTCTGCTATGTGAAAAAAACAAAATCTTAGTATCAGTCTCAAGGGATGGCTTAAGGCCACAATGCTTTAATGAAAAGATTTGAAACTGGGAACAATATGAATTTGGTTTTAGAGCTATGACTCCTCTTGACCTTATGAGAATCTATTCAAATTAGCAACATAAAAAGTCACAGCCCATGCCTGTCAGAGATGCATTCAGCATTTGTGCGTTATATTTTTGTCCAGGGTTTTTGACTGAACTGAGGCTGCAGCCTTTCCTCTCAAATGCTTTGGGCTAATCAGTGTTCCAATTATTCACGATCCCCATGGAATGAGTTGAGCATGGTCCTCCCTGGAGCTCTGGGGTCTGAGGGGAAGCAGCCAGGGGGAAAAAGGCCCAGTCTCTGCAGGCAGCTTTGGCACCAGGTGCACCAGCTAGAAGTGTAGAGGCTTGTTTTTCTCCCATGCTGCCCAGATGCCTGCTGCTTAGGTTTGCAGGAAAGGTGATGTGACACCTCTAGGGGAGTAGTGGGCATGAGGAGGTGTTTGGATTAGAGCAATCTGAGCAATTCTCTCTGCCCGTAAAAAAGGAGAATGGCAAGAGAAGAGAATTGCGGTGTAGCAGCTTCAGAAACAAGAGAACGAGGTTGAGAAGGCATGGAGGGGGGATGTAAGGTGAGGAAAGGGGCCAAAGATGTTCAATAGGATAAGAGGAACAGGAGGGCATCTAGTCGAAAGGAATCTTGCTGGTATGTAAAGTTACCTATTTTTAATGCTTAAATGTTCTTAAATTTTGGTGACTGATATATGTCAGTGCATTATGCAAGCTTTTGGTTAACTGTTAAGGTTTCAAGTTCAAGAACTGAAAAGTTAGGAAACTTCAGTGTGGAAGTTGACCCTGCAACTTGTGTAATACAACTTATACATGACATACTATCAAATAATTAAGTATGTGATTGTGTTATTGGAAATTAATAGCCCTCCCATTATTAAGGCTAAATAACAGTGAAGGAAGTCAGGCTTTGATCTCAGTAGCCCTGTGTACCTGAGGTTGTGATGATACAGCTTAATGGAAACTTCAAGTATCTTCTGAGAGTTTGTAGTTGAGTTACTAGAAACTGTCCAAAAGCAAAGTTTTGTATTCTTTGTATTAAGAATGAGAGGTCTTTGTAGCAAAATACTGAACACTGGAGGGTTTTAGTTTGAAATAATATCTGGGTTTGGTTTCTATTCTTAAAACTCGGTGCTAAATAGATTTCTTTTGATTACAGTGTGTTGCTGTGCTTAATCAGATGTTTTGCATTGCATATTTTGTCATGTCATCATTATAAACCAATTAAAATTTACAGCAGAAAAGCAAGGCAACAACTTTCACACTTACTCTGTTTTGTCTCTTAAACATAATCCAAACAGCAGCATGGTGGATTTTCTCCAAGTAACTAAGGCATAAAATACAATGACAGTAGTACTTTTTTTAAACACCCTATTTGATTTGTTGGATATACAGACTACCTATATATATATATATTGAACTAAAAGCAGTGGAATGGGGTAAGGAAATATTTTTCTTTCTTCTGTTAAAAAAAACAGACTGAGAAATGTTGGGTTTGATTTATTTTCAGTAGCAACCACCCATGTGGTTTTTCTTCAGAAGACCTCATTTTCAGTGTTTGTTATAACCTGAACATGGCTGAATCCTTTCAGACTAGTTTTGAAATTGTGGAACATGCTTTAAATAAAAGCGAATCAATTGGAGATAAAAGGTTTCTCTGAAGATTGTAGAGGGGCAAAAAATGAAATTTATGTCCCCAAAGGCCTAAGAACTGCAAATTATGGCAGTTCAGCAATGCAGTCACCAAGACAGCTAACAAGCAATTACTTGAAAAGCAATGACACCAATGCTTAAGGAACTAAAGGAGAACCTTGACAGACTTGCAAAGTTTTATGCTTTTGTGAGATATGAAGAGCTGTTGTAGTACTGGACTTAGGACAAATGTTTGTGCTGCCAATAGAGTGGTCTGTGTCTAAGAGAAATCGGCTACCCAAGGAGATCCTATAGAGAAACAAGTTTTGATTTTTTAAAAGACTTCTGCAGGCTGTGGGTTTGTGTGGGGTGGCAGTTTATAAAGACAAGATGTACTTTTTAGTGGTGTGACACTCGGCCTCATATCCAAGAGAGAACCTGGGTAAAAAATATACTTTGGTTTTGGTGGTGAATTATTCTTAAAACACAGAGGCCAAAGAGCTCTAGTTACCATTTGATGTATTCATAATAAAGACTTTTTAAAAGTTACTGTTGGTGTTATTTAAAGATTGCATGTAATACCTTCTGATTGAAATATATACCTTTGCCTTTCTAAACACATATTCATTTATTATAATTCTTCCAAATCCATGGAGCTCAGGCATTAGGATTGTTTGTGCAGACTCAGTTCTGTGCATGGAGTGTTGTAATTAGCAATTAGAATCTGCTGTCTTTCTGCCAAGCAGTACGTAGCTGCTCAGGAAGCCCTATTTCCCGACAGCTGGACAGCTGTAAAGAACGGCTCCCTGAATTGAAAATAAATTTTCCAGTTTCCTATGATGTTTACTTTGAAACACAAGTTTTCCAGAAAGTGGTGTCTTGAGAATCTTGTTGAGCTCTTTGCTGCTATTAGCTATATTTGTCTGCTGCCTTCTTAAATATGATAGTGTAGGCCTGGCACAGCTGCTTTTGTTTTTGACAGTGATTGAAGTGATTAAGGATAAGTCATGGAACAGAAATATATATTCTTAAGTCAGTGTTTCAGCTCTGTTCCCTACTCAGCACTGCTAGGAAACATTCCTTTTGGCTTCACTGTTTCTGTGTACGTGCATTTTGCGCCACACTAAATACTCATTTTACTTGGCTTGCAGTCATAGCATAGATCTTTTATATAAAAGGAACGGGAGAAGAAGCAGCAAATGGAATGTTGCACTTGCTCTAAGTAGTTACAGCATCCCTTCCAGCAAGGCAGAGGCAAGCTACCAGAAAACTGCCTGTTTTCCTCAGGCAAGAGTACTCTGAATTAGAGTAATGGTTTGAACGTGTGCACCCAGGAGCTCAACTGCTAAATAACAGCACGGAGCCTTTGTAGTTCTAACTGTTACGGAAATAAGTGTCTGTACAGAGTAGGCTGTATAAACAAAGCCTCGCTTCTGTGAATCTTCCTGCTGTCTTAAGTTGAGAAGTGGTTGTTGCTGTAGCAATTTGCAGGCATTATTCATGTTTTATTTTCCTGAGGCTGGAAGGAGGACTGAACATCTACGTAAAATTTGAGTTGCAGGGCGCTTTGCCCAAGAAAAAAAAGCTGCAGCAGTGAAATGATTACCTATGTTACTTGTATTGATCCCACTAACTTGTAAGTAGTCTAGAATTTATCTGTCTGAAAGAGAAATCCCAGTAAAAGTGCCAGGCATAAATCTAAGTGGCCTAAAGTGTTGTTGTGTGAAGATAATTACGTACCAGGACCATTGTAGCTGTCCCAGTGTAATGCTTAACTTGGCTTTTCAGCTGAGTCAAGCTCCTGTGGCAGACTGGTGTTGACACAGCTCTCCCGCATTCAGTTCAGGGTGCCAAGTCAGGAGATGAAACCCATGTGGCAATGAACGTTTTCTTAGTTGAAAAGGTTGTGCTACTTCATTATTTTATTTAGAAGCTGAATCTTTCAGAAAACTCTGCAGCTTCTATAGCCAGTTATAGCAAATTTTACCCCATGTTTCTTTGCGTGGAGTACTAAGTGCCTTAGACTGTTAGCATTAAATAATACTTATTTTCCCTTGCCATCCTCTCTTTTTGTGTTTTGAGCATCTTTATTTTTACTCATTCTCTGGTGAAAGGTTTGATAAGATCTAACCAAAGGCAGTTGTCAGGGCTTGTGCAGAGCAGTTTCTTGGGAGTTGTCCTGTGAAACTAAACCACAATGGGCATGAAACACTTTGTCTAAAACTACTTGTCTGTTTGTGCAAATGGACTTCTATTATGGCTGACTGTAAGAGGAAAATAGCCACTAAATCAATAGGCTGGGTTGAAATTGACCTGTTTCTCTTATTGTGATGAGTGCCCATTTATTCTCTCCCAAATGAGGTAATAGAACAAAGTTACTCTAGCAACCCCTAGGAAGAAGATTCTTCCTAGACGCAAAAGGATGAAACTGAAGATGCTTGAAAGCAATTATGGGATGAAGGCCAGGACTTCACTTAGTTCAGCAGATAGAGTGATTCTGAGTTTAAAATAATTGAAAGCAGAGGAGGGGAAATCTTGGATAATGGATTTCTCTTGAGCTTTATTGTAGATGTCTTTTAATGGGTATGAGTAGTGAGGGAATTGTCATTTGTGTGGCAGGCTAGTAACCTTGAATCCAGTGAGAGCAGCTGTACTGTTGGCTGAAGCTCTGTAGAAAGAAAGTGTTTGGAGATACCCAGAAGGTCAGGGAGATGTTAAATGTATTCTAAAAGTAGTGCAGTGGGAGAGTTGTGTTGTAGTCTCACATATTTAGTTGTGTAAGGTGGTAGTGCAGAGTAACCAAAGAAGGCTTGGAAGGAGAATAGTTCTATTTTTAAACTTTCTTATGCTTAAAAACTTCATATCACTTCATTTGTTAAGTGTCTTATGCCTCTTGCAGCTGCTCTTGTGTGTGTGTGTGTAAAATGCTAAAGTGCCCTAGTTTTGGAGTGTGCCTGCAGCTGCACATGCAGAAGAGAGAAATTATTAAAGCAAAAATCTGAATTTTTTCCCTGTGGAAAAAAGCAGTTCTAAAACCTCATTGGTTTCCTTGGTCTAAACCTCACCTGGCAAGGGCAAGGCGCAGCATTAGGATGTCGGTGAAGATAACACATTTGTTCTTACACAGGGCACACTGAGACTGCACCTGAAAATGCTGTGCATGAGTGGGGATGTCCCCACAGGGCAACAGAAATGGTTGCTGTAGATAGGAATTAATTACTGTGACGCAGAAAAAGAGTAGTGCCTTGCTTTTGAATGGTCAGTATGCTCCCATGAATGAAGGAATTCTTCACCTTGAGGATGTAAAGCACTGGAACAGGTGGCCCAGGAAGTTGTGGATGCCCCATTCTTGGAAATGTCCAAGGCCAGGTTGGATGGGGCTTTGACCAACCTGATCTCTAGTGGATGGTGTTTCTGTTCATAGTAGATGGGTTGGAACTAGATGATCTTTAAGGTCCCTTCCAATGCAAACCATTCTATGATTCATCCTGTGATTCTGTGGTGGCAGAAGAGCCACTATTATGGACCCACTCTATGAAGTCACTGGGATGGTAACTATGAACTTCAGCACACATGGAGCTAAGTCAGAAGAGTTGAAAGCACAGAGGAAAACATGGATATGCACTGAGTTCAGCAGGGATGGGGTGACTTTATATGTCATGGGGTGGCAAGAAGAAAGCCCTGTGTTGTCTGAAAAGCTCTGTGTTAGCAGGAGTATCCTAAATTAATCAGTAGATATTGTTCATTTTGCAGCATACTCATTTAAATTAAAAATATGGTCAAAAGAATGTTTCATTTTATTATACTTCGGTGGAGAGAAGTGATTATGTCCTCTTGTCTTTGAGACCAAAAAGATTGCATTTTTTTTAAAAATTACTATATCTCTGATCAAATTGCTCAGTAGAGCAATGTATAGCAAAGTATCCATTTTCCCCTTCTCTCCATGCCCATGCTCACTTTACTGCAGTTGCTATCTCACTAACACTCACAGGCTGCCATATGCTTTGATCTCTGTGCCCTCTTAGTGAGGATAGCAAATAATGGGACACTCAAGTTGCTTTCTGCAGTTCAAGCAATCTTACCTTGGAATCAGTGCGATATAGAAAGCAGGCTGGTCTGTGCCTAGTTCTCCATTTCTCAGCAGTAGGTGTAAGCTTCATTGTGACTTGGAATTATTCACAGGAATTACCTCATAGTTTGGAGAATGATCTCTGGTTGAAGTCCAGAAGAGTTTTTCATCTAGAAATTGTACAGGTGCTTCATTTCATAATCTCTGAGGTGACCTTCCATGTACAGCTACTGCAGCAATACACTGACACTGATCCTGTGTATGGGAATCTCTCTGACTTCATGGTAGCAAATGCTGCCTGCACCAGTGAGAAATCTGAGGAGGAGAAGCATCTGGTACTCTTATACCTTGGCTGAAGGTGTTTGCCCTTGTGTAACAGTCTCAGAAATAAATCACTGCATCTTGCACATTGCCTGCTTTTGGTGTTCGGAGAGCTCATGCCCTAAGACAGGCTGCACAGCACAAATTGCTGGCTGTCTGGAACTGAGGTTGTCCTGCATGCCCTCAGGCAGTGGCATTTCAGCTTTCATTTTGGTGATGTGTAATTAAAAAGCTTCAATTCACGTGTCTCATCTGTGTTTGGGTGAGCTTGCTAGTGTTCTGGTCAACTGCAGAACTGGCTTCATAGCACAGGCTTTTCAGCAGAAAATCTTTTTTCCAGGGATCCTTTCATGTTATATCCTTGTTTTATATTGCAGTGAGATAATGAAATATCATTATACAGCGGGTATGAGTGTCAGCTTTTTAAAAAATGCTGTTACAGACACTGTGTTCCTTTTATCATCCTTAAGAGATTATAACTCTCCCTACAACGGCATTTGGTTTGGCATCTTCTACATTATTTAATATTTTAGGATACAGTGCTTTTTAAAGCGGACATGTCAGCCAAAAGTAATCTTTTATAAATATGCATCTCCTAGTGGAGCAGTTATACAAGTTTAATCTTAATCTTAAAAAAAAAATAAGAAAGCTGACCCTTTCCCTATAGCCAGTTGCATCATCCAGATTTATGTCTGTGCATTGTTTCTAAATAAATTTATTTATGCTTCTGGCTTTAATGTTTTACAGTTGAGCACTAAATAGCTGTGTTTATCTCTCTAGTCTATATGATGAAAACAATGGCAACTTATATACTATCCAGGAAACACTGATGGTGGTGAGTTTTCACTCTGCTTTGCTCAGCCAGGACATTAGAGATGAGGAAGATTGGTAACAGTGCTTTGTTTGGCAACTCTGATGGTAGACTTCTATGATAAGTGCCAGAGCAAGAAGAACTGGGACAGTCACTGCAGCTTGGTGTCATATAATTTATTTATATTTGCAAATCAGACTGGTAAGTTTCGCACTGTTGGAAGTACAAAAATATGTACTAAATCACTGAGCTTTTAAGAGCTGAAAATAATATAAACTTAATTAATAGACATGTTTAAATAAGGCATGAACTTTGCTTTCATGTTTCAGTGAATAGAAATGAAACACAGGTATTCTGTCGCTTTTCTGACTCAAACCTCCAACTTGCAAATGTACTTTGTAAGTATTGCTGTTTAGACTGTAGAAAAACAGGCTTTTTCCATTTGCTAATGACGGAAATTTCAAAAAGTGTTTATCTGAAGTTGTGAAGACTGCGTTAAAAATAGCAAAGTGGTCTATAGTCTGAAAGTATTCTTGCTTCACCTTAGTTCCTTTAGAAATCACTTCAACCTACTTCCCTTAACAAGAGAATCTGAGTATTGACATCTAACCAAAATTAGGTACATGTCTCTATTGTTTCAAAACAGAAATCTAGATTTTAGTTTTAAGACACTGGAGTGCATTAGATCCAAAACTTCTGCAGAATTCCTGCAGTTCTTTCTGCCTCACTGCTATAGTAGTTGGCAAAACCTTGAAAATCTCTTGAAATAATTTTCAAGATCATTGCTGTTAATTAGAACAAAAATTTGTTACAAAAATATTTTGGCTTGATGGTATAGCCCTACCCATCTTGCCAAGAGTTTTTTGAAAAATTTAAATTAAGAAGCCTGAAAGAGTTGTTTCTGATGTGTTTCTATTTTTCTTCTGAAATGGTAGCTCTGTTAGAGAAATCTTTCTAGTGTTTCTTTTGAACCTGCTGTTCAGTGCATTCAAGAGGGCTTAGGGGTTTTTGGGTGGAATAGAATGTGGACAGTACATGTGTAAAGTTTCCAAGCTGATGCTTCAGTTCTATTCCTATTTGTATGCCCTTCCCCAAAGGATTAACCTGAAACAAGGGCAGTCAGTGTGCCATCAGTGACTTGGTTTCCCCATTTCCTAGAAAGCTTGCATCTCTAGTGAGCCAACTTACACAAAAGGCATGTTGATGCTGTGCTCATCTTGTCCCTCCTGCAACCAATTGCTATGTCCTACAGTCCTCCAATCTCCAGAGATATTTCCCTTGTTTCCCATCCTGTTGCTCTAAAAAAAATTGTAGGGTCTGAGCTCACCTCTAGTGCTGCTCTGAGCCTGTCTCTTGCACTGGTCACTGAACGTTCCCAGAAGCGCCAGGAGGCTCCTTGTCCATAATAAATGTCAGCAAAGGTTTCTCAATGTGCCCTTTTGTTCCTGTCCTCGGCTGCTGCTCAGGGAGCATCTGCCAACTACCAGGACAGCATATCTGCTACACAGGAAGGGCCCTGCAGCCAGGGCTGTAAAGGATGAAGGTTCCTTCAAAATGGTCTGTTTTATACTGATAAAATGCCAGTGCTTAGTTTATGGGCTCCTGCACAGTTTAAGTGTCAGAGTAAATGTCTTACAGCTCTTCTGTGCTGTTTGTACAAATGGATTTTGGTGATGAGAGAGATTTTGGTTTTGTGTACCAGCTGTTGCATTTGGGTCTCTAATCCATTTTCAAGCCTCTCAGCAGGGTCACATTGTAGCATGTGTTAATTTAATGTGAGAATTTTTCCCCTTTCTTGTTTTGAAGGGCTTGACTTTGGTAATGGTTATGCTTGTGTCCATAGGAGTTTACAGAAGCAAAGCCAATGCTGGTGGCAGTGCAATTTTGGTTCACTCAATACACTCTTTTATAATAATCTTATGGAAAGTGTAACAGGCCCTGAACAAGATTAGGGCTCCAGTGTGCTTATGCTGTGACAGTGAGGGGTAAGCATTGACATAGTGGTCAGCTCAGACACATGGTAGAAGCAGCAGCATAAGAAATTTGGTCTGTCCAATGTTCGGTACAGTGCAGAAGCACTGGAAAATATTGTCTCCAGCTGTGCTGAAGCAGGTTTCCACTCACCCCAAATACTCACCCCACTCTCTTCTTAATGGGCAATTTCAGCATCAGTATTGACAAACGGATCTTGAAAACTAGCATCTAACAAGTGAGTTTTTAAATGGGATTCTTTAAGGTTTATCCTCTCCAACAGCTCTAAAGAAGAGAGCAGTTCACAATTTTGTCCTTACTCTAAAAATTTTAATATTAAATATCCAGATTCTTGGGTTTTTTACCTTTTTTATCTGTCAGCTGTACTACATGCATCTTGGTAACTTTTGGCCAGCCATAGAGCTTTGAGACCTATTTATCTCTGGAAAGATTGCTGTCCTTTGTTCCCAAGCTTATAATTTTAAAATGCAAGTAAGAAATAAGCGTGGGGTGCAAGTATGGAATGATCACATTACTTAACTCTAAAACAATAAATTGCACTAAAATGTTACTTAGAGTATTGTTTATCTAAATATATATAGACACTACTGATAACACAAAGAATGTGAAATTCTTAAGACTTGCAAAATATATTTGTATTGTAAATATGAAGAGTAGTTTTTGCATGTCTCAGTTTCATAAACAATGGATGTAAGAGGCAAAAGTCACAAGTAGTGGAAAAGCTTTAATGTTGAACTCTGCATTCCCATGTATTCAGCCCATGGATCATGGCTCACAGGAATTTGCTTGTAGGATAAACAACCCAGTTTTGCCTTTGAAGAGACTCTTTAGTCTTAAATTTCAGTGGTATTGCCTTAGAACAGAACAGCCAGTTGCTGAATGCTAAGATTCTTATTCTGAGCTTATTCTCTGTAGATTGGAGGACTGTAGGACTTAGCAATTGGTTGCAGGAGGGACAAGATGAGCACAGCATCAACATGCCTTTTGTGTAAGGCATTTTACTCAGGATTTTGGTCTTAATATGTTTCTGAATTAATAAATAATAAATTCTAATAAATTCTGTCAGCTCTGACCTATGTCTGCTCTTTCAACACACTCTACCTCGCACAGCAATGCCTCTGACTTGACTGACATGCTAGCTCGCCACTGTTCCCAGTGTCTAGACAAAACTTCCTAGACTAACACCAATTCTTTATTATTACTTATACAAACTTTGAATACTCTGTTCTCTGCTTAGTTCTGGGTAATTCAAACTATGCATTTTTTACATTGTGCATGTCAGGTATGACATGCTATATAAAATAAGCAAGTGAATTTAAGAGTGGGGGTTTTATTCAGATTTTTTTTTGAGCAGTGTTCATAAGGAAGTAGTTGGAGGTAGCAGGATTAGGTGCTAAGGATAAAGAATATATTAGTTCCCAGTTAGCTCTGTTTTAAATTTCCCAGTTTAATGCTGAATTTCCTCTGCTATGTATTGGAAGCACTTTTTTACTGAGGTATGAGTTTGTTCCAGCTGTCATTTCTGAAGCTTTCCCTATCTCACACACCCCCAGCACACTCTGACAGCTAAAAAAAGTAGCTGTTCAGTCATACCAGGGGGATTAGATGACAAGTGGCAGGTACAGAATAGCTAGATTTTCTTCTTTTTTCCCTGTAATCCCTCCTCCTCTGATTTAGTTGTTTCTTTTTTCTCATGGCTGCTTCTCAGTAACTTCTCTCTCACTTGTAGAAATCGAGCAGGAAACCGGAGGGTGATATTTCCCCCTTGGTGCTCAGAGCACCCTGTACCCAGAGGTGTTCCCGCACTGCAGGCCTGGGACTCTCCTGGCTTGTGCTTTCATCCACAGCTGTGCAGCCCTTGTACAGCTCATCTTTCCAGACCCGTGCTAGGATGCCGTTCGGGGCGGGGGGGGGGCTGCTGTGCTCATCCTGACCTTGACACAGGTCTCAGCAGCACTTCTTGCTTCTGATCCCCAAGTGCCCCTTCACACTGCCTTTAATCTCTTGAGGCTTACAGTTCTGGGGGTAGAGACCTTCTGGAAATAGAACTGCCTCTGCCTTGTGGCTGATTCCCTTTTTCCATGGAACAGAGCTTGAGCATCTTCTTTCCAGCTCCTCAGCCTTGCTGTGGGGCCTTTGGTTTGCCATTCACCTCACTGGGAATAGCTGGTTCAACCATGCAAACATGTTCTTGATGTGCCACAGTTTGAAAAACAAGTGTTTGTATTCTGCACAGCTCTTGTGTTTTTAAAAAAGCCTGTCAAAATGCCAGTGCGATTTGCCTCTCAGTGTTTGGCATTCAGTGTTTTTTCCAGGGTCTGGGTGAATGTTCTTTCTGCTTTCCAGCACATCCTCCCAGAGGTTCTAATTCTCAACTAATTTTTTCCCCTTGAATATGTTGCCTTGTCTCCCAGGCCAGATTTCTCATGTGACATGTAAAAAAATCAATAAAAGCTTACAATTTTCCTCTTTTCTCAATGTCTTTTATGAGCCTTTTCTTTGACTTTGAATATTTTTAATATAAACTTTCTGTTTGTGCTTGTTTTGCTTCCCACTGCTAGCAATTCCTACTTCTGTGCACACAGGCCTCCTTTGGACAAGCTGGAGATAACTGGTTTGTTAGCTCAAGAGGAACACCTTAGCCTGTAAGGTTATTAAAGGCATTTTTGTCTGACAGATGCTGATCATGGAACAGCTCTTTCAAAGTAGCTCTGGCTATCATAAAGTAGTTTTTTCTCATTTTAGGAAATAAACTTTGGTACTAGTACTCACTACAGAGATTATTAACTGTTCTAGGAATTTACAGTAATTATAATGGCT